TCAGCAGGAAGGGCAGCGCGGTAGCGGGTGTCACTAGCACGGAGGTGGGTAACGAGGTCAGTGACAGTGGGAAAGGAAGCGAGGTCAGGGAAGAGAAACGGTAGCATGAGGCGGCTAAGGGTAGCGGAGGAAGGGGAGGAGTAGCGTGCAACTACAGCGTCGTACAAGGCCTGAGCGGTCTTGCACTGACTAAAGTGGGCACGCTCAGAGGAAGGGAGGTGGCGACGCACAGCAAGACGTGCAGCAGCATCGCGGGTCGCCCACTTGGAGCGAACGGCAGAGTCAGCATCAGCAGGTGGGGCAGGAACAGCGCCAGAGACAAAGTCAAAAAGAGAGACCTCATCTATCGCATCACACAGTAAGTACAGCTGCAGGTCTTCAATCCAGACGGCAAAGTCAATGGCCCTCCCCTCAGCGTCAAAAGTAAGAACATTGGGGGTGGCCATGGCAGCAGCTGGAAGTCTCACCGGGCTGGGAGAGTCGGGTAGGTCAGCAGCAGAAGAACACAGCTCAGGAACAGCAGCACGGCGGGTCGGGCGGCTCGGGCGGCTCGGGCGGCTCGGGCGGTTCGGGCGGCTCGGGCGGCGGCTCGGTCGCAGCTCAGCGGCGGCTCGGGCGGCTCGGCTGCTGCTGGGCGGCTCGGCGGCGGCTCGGGCGGCGCAGGCGGCGGCGGCTCGGCGGCGGCCCGGGCGGCGGCTCAGGCGGCGGCGGCTCGGCGGCGGCTCGGCTGCTGCTGGGCGGCTCGGCTGATGCTGGGCGGCTCGGCGGGGCCGCGGAGCAGAGGGCGGCGGTGCCGCGTAGGAGAGGGCGGCGGGGCCGCGTAGCAGAGGGCGGCGGGGCCGCGTAGCAGAGGGCGGCGGAGCCGCGTAGCAGAGGGTGGCGGGGCCGCGATCGAGGGGCGGCGGGGCCGCGTAGCAGAGGGCGGCAGGGCCGCGTAGCAGAAGGCGGCGGGGCCACGTAGCTGAGGGCGGCGGGGCCGCGACGTAGGGCGGCGGGCGGGCCTTCGAAGTAGGGCGGCGGGCGGGCCGGGACGTAGAGCGGCGGGGCCGCGACGTAGGGCGGCGGGCGGGCCGTCGAAGTAGGGCGGCGGGCGGGCCGGGACGTAGGGCAGCGGGGCCGCGACGTAGGGCGGCGGGCGGGCCGTCGAAGTAGGGCGGCGGGCCACGACGTAGGGCGGCGGGGCCGTCGAAGTAGGGCGGCGGGCAGGCCGCGACTTAGGGCGGCGAGGCCGCGCGATAGGGCGGCGGGGCCGCAAGGTAGGGCGGCTCGACAGGCCGCTAGGGAGGGCGACACGACGGGTCGCTAAAAAAAAGGACGCGCGCCTCGGGGCGCGCTTCGGTGGGCCCAAGAAACAGTCCCTAGTAGGGGACCTGCTCTGATTCCATGTGAAAGAGAGAACGAGGATGAAATGACTATGAAAGAAGTGGGTACAAATAGGAAACCCTAATTGGGTTGTACCCCCTATGGGATACCCCACTATAGCCTACACAATAGTATAAGCTATATAGTTCTGACACATCTTGCACGCGATCGTGTGCCGGACGCCAATTTTCGTTCGCCGAAGATTTCAGTGGTGGCGGTGCGAAGGTTTCCTGAGTTGCTCTCATACCATGTTGCGATCAGAAGTTGATCGTGACCAGGATCACCTCGGGAAGGTCCGCACACTTATGATTTGTGGTGGTGGGCCCTTGACCTCAATAGCAGAGTGAATGTAAATGCTTGAGACAATAGAAACATGCAGTACAAGGAATATAAATAGGAGTACAGGGGAATTCGAAACGTCCTAGCTAGCTATGTACTCTTAAGGGGTACATTACCTTATTGCATCGAAATCCAACCGTGCGACTCTGGGTGGTTACGAAACCGATCGGGCAGAATCCTCACCACCGCTGCTGCCTGACGCTGTCTGCCTAACGGTCCAGATGCTTCTCGTAACCGTGTGACCCTTCGCGTCACTTGCGCCCTTTCCTCTTCAGTCTCGGTAGTGTATGCTGCGTTTGCTGCGGTGAGGAGTGCCCAATAGTATTTCAGTAATTAATATTCGTAACATTGACCTCATTTCATTACACCTGGTACCAGTATTCCAGAACTCATTGGTTGCAATTCCATTATTTTCAAAATTTAATCGGTTATTGCATTCAAATCTCGCATAACAGAAGTGTATTATCAGTGTGCTCTCATAGGTCTGCGCTTTCTCTTGGGGCTTCGGCGTTCTTCTGGAAATGTGGATGGTAATATCGAACGAATTATCGACGGCAAACCGAAGCTCGGGGTTCGAGGGAGCCCCATCGTGCTGGAAAGTGGCGGCGCGACTCGGTAGTGCGACTTGATGTGGAGCGAATTTCCGCGCTTTGACTCGAAGAATTTCCTCCTCTCCCACCCACCCACTCGACATTTCGACTGTCATTTCGAATGTCGTCAAGACTTCAGACACCGCCCCTCTCTCGCTCCTTCCGACATAGTGCCTGGAGGTTTTTCTCCCTTCTGATATCATCCCCTCCCTCTCCCATTCCCCCATAACGGTCCACATTCATCACCTTGTCATGCCCCTCACTAGCCGTGTCGGTCAAACCCCTATCAGTGCGTAGCCGCTTCTTCCAAGCTTCGTCGGCAGACTCGTTGGCAGAGGCGTGTATGCGTCACCAGGAAAAAAACGTCGGTGGTCGTAAGCTGGACTTGAATCACAGTTAGAAGCACCGTAGGCACTGACTTAGATGACAGTGAGCTACTAGTGTTAGACTTGTTCTGGGTCTTACCTTCCGCACGTACAAACACATTGCTCAGCGTCCACTTCGCGTATCGTAGCTCCGAGCTCATCAAAACTTTGCGAGGCGTTTGCATCCCATCTCGTCTCCCTTCTCTGTTATCTTTTCGAGAGTGACAACATCGACGTCCGCATGACGTCTGCGGTGCTGCTGTCGGTCCTGCTCGTTCTAGTATCCTCGCTAGCGGCAGACGCGCAATCAGTCCCCTTCCCTGGGATTCCAAGATGTGAGCCTCGCCCGCCTGTCGCACGCCCTTGTCGCACGCCCTTGTCACACGCCCTTGTCGCACGCCCTTGTCACACGCCCTTGTCGCACGCCCTTCGTCGCACACCCCTTGTCGCACACCCCTTGTCGCACACCTCTTTATGACCCACCATTTGTTGTCCGATTGCCCTCTAGTCGCCCCTCTCGTGTGTATCTACTCGACTCACAGCCCCGAACCGTCCACCAGTCACTCTCATTCAATCTTCTGCTTCCCGTGCTGATTGTTGCGAATTGTCGCAATGTCGCACATCGACGGTTTGCCATGTTCACCATACCTCATACCCCTATGCCCCCTGGCTGGGCAATCGACATCACGCCCGTCTGTTGAGCCGCTCCTCGATTCACCGCACATCTCACCCTCACCTCGCCTCACCGCTCTTGACCCCTTCTGTGAGCTCTGGACCACTCGTCGTCCCGCAGGCACGCTGATCTCGAGTCTCAAGCCCAACAAGGCGCTCAGCTCAAAGCTCGGCGGTGAATCCAGCCAGAGCACGATTGAAACCTCACCTCACCGCTCTTGACCCCTCTGTTTGCTTTCGCAGGCACGCTGATCTCGAATCTCAAGCCCAACAAGGTGCTCAGCTCCAACCTTGGCGGCGACTCCGGCGCGTCCGGCTATTTCCGCATTCTCGTCTTCCAGTGGGTCTTTCGTTTTTTGTGTTTTTTAATCTAATCGTCTTCCAGTAAACCGGGCTTGTATAAAATCGTCTTGCAATAACCGTGCTCAAGTTTTCGACCGTCTCTGACGTACAACGTTTGTCTAATCTCTGCGACACTCCGCCGAGATTTGCAGGCAAGGCAGCAAGATCAACATTAAGCTTCACTTCGACATCGAGTCGCTCACCGCGCCGCTTCCGCCGACCGGCCAGATGCTTTACGACGGCCGCCGCGGTAGCAACGGCGCGCTCGTCTGGCGCCTGCCGAACCCCTGGACCCTCGACGATATCAACGAACTGAAGGTCGACACGTGGATCACAGATGCCAACAACAAGTACATCAGTCTTGGTGTGGTTGACAATAACGGGGGCGGGGGTGGATCCACTGCGAGCAACAGCGGCGTCACCCCGCCGGATTCGGCGTTCACTCGCGCTCCGTCTGACGGGAAAGCGAACGTCATAAAGCCGGCGAACGCGTCGAGCACGACGGGCGCGAGCAGCGGCGGCAGCTTTAGCACGACAAAAAGTATCAAGCCACTGGACTCAGGCACGTCGATATACGATCTGATAAAGAAGATCGACGGGAATCCGGGACGTTACTACGTGCAGATCAACACGCAGGCGTTTCCCAACGGCGCTCTTCGCGGACAGATCTTCCGCCGTTGGATTCCGCAGGCCATATGCTGATCCGACCAATCACATCGCGGTAACGGGTTCTGGGACCCTTCAAAGGAGACTCGTTACCCTGATACGCAGCAATCAGCAAATAAATGTGGAAGGGGTTGTAGATTGCAGGAGTAGGTTAATTTTCTCCCGCGTCTACAGCCCTTGCCACGGTAAAACATTTCCAGGGAAGTAGCCATGCGATTTTCCAGTAGAGCCATGCACACGACCCGTTTGCATCTTCGAGTGCATAAGAAGAGGGTGATGTACGTGGTGTTTGGCTAGGCTTTGGAACAGCATGGTGTATGTACGGTAGTCTCATGCATCAGCTCAGTGATGTACGATATCAGTTTCAGTTCTGTATCCAATGCTTGCTTATGACGTGACATTTCTATGTGTGGTTTCATTTCACATGGTACCAGATTGACTCATCTTGATCTGAAAGTAAGTGTTTGCAGGCATCTAACAAAATCAAATTGGTTCTCTTGAAGGCTAGGTAGCTGTCAGATGAAGTGACGTTGGTAAGAAAAAGCAATCATTGCAGGGATCTCTTCTCTGCAGTAGCCCCACCTGTGACTCTCCATCCTTCCAACAATCGTTTTTCCTCTGACATTACCACTCCCTCCTTCACCCATCCTTACTGCTTCCTATCTCACCACCCTCCAACACTCTTCCCTCCCCCCCATCCCCCTCCACTGCTCTTCCCTGGCCCACCTGCCACCTTGCCACCCCCAACAGACGCCCCATAACTGCCTGTCCCCCCACCCACTCCCCCAGTGAACCCCCCCATCCCTCCACCATAAGCCTCAACTGAAGCATCCCCAGGCACAGCACTGCAACTACCCCCTTTCCAATTAGACACAGCAGCAGCTCTGGCAGCAGGAGGGTAGCTCACACCCCCTGCACTACTGAGGGAAGAAGCAGAGCCACCAGGTACAGCAGGACTCGGCCTCCCCCCACCCATGGGCATACCCCGACCCGCACCTGCCCCACCCACTCCAGGCCTACCGATTCCACCTCCCCCACTTGCTCCGCCACCAGCCATGGCTGCTGCTCTGCTGGCCTTATCCTGCTCCCTCCTCACCACCTCATGTGCGTTCAGCAGCCCTCGCTGCCTGCGCGCCTCTGCCTCTGCTGCCGCCCTTGCCACACAGCACGCCAGCCGCTTGAGAACCAGCAGCCCTCCCGACCTGCCAATCACATACAGACACGTGTCAGACAAGGAGTGAATGCATGCAGAATGCTGGCTGGCATGTTAACCATGCAGATTGGTTCTGGCACTCGTGCAGGCTAGAACCCATAGGGCACACACGTCTTATCATCTTCTGTTCCAACGCCCACAAGAGGTGCTGGCTTGTTCCCTGCCTGTCTGCTAACTGAAGAGGGTGACGTCCCCCATTTGCTCCCACTGCTGCTGCTGCCGCTGGTAGTAGCCGTGGTGGAAAAAAAGGGCGTTGATGTCGGAGGGGCCTGGGGCAGTTTGAGAGCGTCTGGACGAGCGTAAGCAGGGAGGTCGTTGACAGAAGCAGCACGCACGCAGCCAGAGGAGAACCCTCCAACGGTCTTTGCCAGGAGACTGTGCACCCCCTCTGGATGCTGGGCTCAGGGGGGATACAGGCGACAGGCAGTCTCGAGCTGGTCCTGATATAAGCCTCTCCACTGCTCCGTTAATAGCTGCTTCAATGCCCTGAGTGTTACCTTGAGCGACCTGATGGGCGATAAAAGGAGAGAAAAGAATTAGGGAAATAAGTATCAGTTGTGATTTTGCAAAACCGGATAGACACCTAAGAAGGAAAAGAATGAGACAGACGCCTGCCAGAAACATGAAGGTGCACTTTTGCATGTTCCACAAAACACTATTATTTGCAAGTATTTTGGGAAGCACAGCAGGTCACATACATCTTGGGCAAACAGGAAGGCGAAATACAGGTCAGTAACCAGCTTGTCGCGATCATAGTGGTCAGTTCCCATTCGCGACGAGTTCAGAAAGTCCTCAAGGCCTTGAAACCCCAGCCTCCCGCCCTTCATTGATGGCGTTACGTCCATGCCATGCTGACGACAGGCTTCCATGAGGGTCCGGCTGAGTGCCTGCAGCGTCTGATGCTCCACGCTGCTCCTGTCGTCTGCTGTGCCCTGAAACCCACGGACAGTGACCGCCAAGAGTACTTGGAATCCTCAAAAGTCGTCTGCTGTGCACTGAAGAAACGCACAGGCAGTGATAATCCGAGAGCTGCAGAACGTGCCAAGAACCTTAACGAGCTTACATTGTCAGCTACAAGAGATAATTGCTTATAACATGAGGCGTTGAGCGTAGAAACAGTAACGGGGCTATACGAATCTACAAGTACCATACCAGCTTGGTGGCGATCTTTTGCGAAACCGCAGCCACTTCGTGGTGGTAACCTGCCATTTCAAGGTGAAGCAGCCGTTGAAGGGCTGCGGGAGAGGAGAAAGCAGTCAGAGGTCCGTAAGACGTATGTCAGGAATTATTAGAATATAAATTGATCGAATGGATTATTAGGATCAGCTTATCAAGTCCCTTGTCGCACCTGCGAAGATGACGTCTTCTGGACGTTTCCCTGCTTTGCGCATGGATTCGATCTTCTCCCGTTCGTGCAGATCAGCGTAGTGTTTACATGCCTTGCTGATTCCTGTCGACACCGCGTTCACCCCCGTTACAGTGGCGCTGTACAAGAAACTCAGACCCTGCTTCGCTAAGAATCCAGCCTGAGAAGAAGCGGAAGCCATGGCTTAACGTTCTGCCAGCAACAAACGTTAACTGCAGCTTGAAGCTGGGCTTCTAGTAAGGCTTCTGAGTCGACTCTGAAGCCTGATCGACTCAAATGAGTGAGTGAGCGCTTTCTACCAGCGAAAGTAGTCAAGAGATTTGAAGTTGAAAAAGGTCTGTACTACAGCGATGATGCAGGAAAACGAGAGCTTGAATCACTCGCTTTCTAGTATTGCAAGAATGAGGCGTCGCAAAGGTGCATCCCATGGTGAGCGTTCTCCATGAACGCTCTCCTACCGCAGCAAGCGGACACAAGCTTCGAGCCATGCTGCTGCTCTGGCGGCGGAAAGGGGTCAGCGAAGCGTCTCGAAGTCCTGGAGCAAGGGCGACGCGAAGTCTAGATTCTCGAAGCACCATTCAGAATTCTCCCTCCATCAGATCCCAAGGCCAGAAGGAAATGGCGTCGAATTTCGAACTTGAAGGTGGGAAGGAAGGCGAGGGCTTGCAGGGAGACTGGAGAAAGGCGGCGGCATGTCAGGGAAAGTCGTTAGCTGAAATGGACGTCCTGACATCAGCGATCAGGCAACATAATTGACCTGGCAAGGCTATAGTAGAGAGTAGTTGTGTTGGTATTACGTAATAATCTCAACATGTACAAATCTTTTAAGAACCTACAAAAACATGGATTTCGACATGCAGACAATGTACACCTAGCAGAGATTGAGCATTGATAACACAGACGCATATGCTGCAATGCCACTTCAATCCACACACCAACTCATGTCAGTGCCACCGGAGCCGCATTACAGAAGCTCGAGTGCGCACATATCGTTCTCTTCCCCATGAAGCTCACCACCACAAGCATGATTCCCAACACCGCCCCCACAACCACTCGTCTCCTATCCAAAACACTCCATCCCCATTCCCCTCCTTTTCCACTCACAACTCCTCTCCCACCAGCCACCCACAGCCCTCCAGGCAGCAGCTGATCCAATCCTGCAGGGGCCAGCAAGCCGCAGGCTAGCACAAGCCAGTTCAGCAGCCCAGCTCCAAAGGTATGAAGCAAAAAGAAAGACGCTACAGCACCGATAGGCCCAGCCAGCCCTGCTACAGCCGCCGATGCGAGTGCTAACGGAACAGCTGCTACGGGAAGCTCCGGGGTGGAACGAGTGATGGAGAAGGAACCTAGTGCAGCGGCTGCTGCAGCAATGCCACGTGGCACTCCATGAATGGCTGCTGGAAGCAGCATGCGCATCCCAATCTCTCCTACTCTCCCTCCTCCTCTTCCTCTTGCTCCTAAATCTCCTCCTAGGTCCCCTCCTGGCGCTGCTTTCTGCCCCAACAGAAGCCCCTCCGCGAAAGCATGGCCTGAGACAGCAATACAGACCAGAATGGAGGTTCGGATTCCGTAGCTAAGCTGCAGGCTCGGCTTGCACGCCCGGAGCACCTCCTTCTCATCGCCGTCCCCAACCCACTGCTGCAGCCCGTGACTATACTGAACGTCACCAAAACCGCCCTGCAATTTCTGCTGCGCGTTGCCCACACACCCACCCCCCAGGCCCCGCCCCATACTGGCACAAAAGTAATGCAGCACACAGCCCACATAGAACACTGACAGCAGAGGCAACACCTCCATCTGCCCAGTTACCAGCAGCTGCACCGGCTGCCACAGCGCCAAACCGAGCAGCGCCCCTCCCGCTAGCCCAGATAGCAGAGGCGGCGACACAGGGGCAGGGAGCGAGTGGGACAGGATGAGCGGGAGTACGGACCCTACGAGTGGCCCGAGAAAGAACAGCAGCGCCCAAGCAATCGGTACCAATCGGTGCCAGCTTTCTGGCGCGTCCGCGCCTTCGAGGAAAGCTCCTAGCGCCTCCATGAACGCAACGGAGAGAGTCGCGGCGGAGGCGATGTGGGAGGAGTTCGCGCCCTCTTTAATACACTCCGGGAGAACCTCGCCGAAAACGATCCAGATCATGCAACCCGCGGCGAAGCCCATGCAGAGCGGGAGGAACTGAGTGAAGGTGTTGGCGCCGAGGAACGCGGGGACGGCGACGAGCGGCTGCGGGAGGCTCGTGAAGACGCTCCAGAGCATGGCGTTGCGCGGCCGCACGCCGCGCGCGACCATGACGAGAGTCATCGCGAGGCCCTCCGGTACGTTGTGCACGGCGATGGCGATGGTTACCAGCAGCCCCTGCGACAGCCCGCGAGGGCCGGCGAAGGAGACGCCGACTCCCGAGCCTTCGCCGAAGGAGTGGAGGGTCATGATAACGAGGATGAGAACCACGCGGTTGGCCGATGCGCCTTTTAAATCCATCATTTTAACGTCCCCGAACTGCTCCAATACCCGCTGACTTAAAACAATGAACAGCCCGCCTAGAATAATCCCTACCACAACGCACGCGCCGCCTGATCCGCTGTCGTGCAACCTTCCCTCGGAGACTAAGTCGAAACTAGCTGCCATCATCACGCCGCAAGCCACGCCGTTACACACGCCAGCCCACTCCTCCTCCATCTCCATGAAGAAAAACGGCAGCGACCCGAGGCCTGTCGCTGCCGCCATTAGCACCGTTAGGATACTGACGGTCAGTACGGAAACAGGTGATTTAGGCGGGTTGACGGAAAGCAGCTCTTGACGGAATCCGTCATCGTTATCGTCAGTGGAGCGTTGACGTACGGTGGCAGCGGGTGTGCTGTCGGAAATGAGATTGGGGGGCTTGGGAAATCCGAGCACCTCGGCATTACCAAACGGGTCCGGATCCACGGAATGGGAGGAGAGCGCTGAGCGGGGAGGTTTCGCGGTGGAGGGAGCGGGCTTTGCGGCGGAGCAGTAGGAGGGTGAACTGGCGATAAAGAGAAGCAGCGGGAGGAGGAGGAGGACGCGCGGTTGCGGATGGTGCGGTCGGTGGTGTCGGTGTTGGCGAGGTGGGATGTTGAGGGTCGGATTGAGTCGAGCTGGAATAGAGGAAACTCTACAACATGACGTTGTGGATGACGGAGAGCAGGACCCATCGCTTATTCGACTTAATCGAACCGGGCCCATGGCTTCACTTATTCGACTTCTCAATTATTCGATGAGACCAGGACGCGGCGAAGGTCCGCTATCGGCGGTAGCGAGATTGCAGTCACGCTTGCTTTCAAAAGGATTCGGCCGAGACGCTAGCGAGAGACGATGTTAGCCATAACGCATACGACACTCGACGTCCCAGGCGAGAAGCTAAAAGGGAACTGAAGTATGCGAGAAGTTGTGCTGAAGCAGACCACAAGGGGGACACAGAGGTATGTGAAAGGTCGGTGAGTGAGTAGGAATGGAGACTCCCTTCTCCTAGTGAAGAAATGGGGGTGACGCAAAAACAAACAGCACGGCAGAAATGCTGAAGGGGATTGATTGGATTGGGGTGGGCGGACGGGGTGAAGGCGGGGGGCGCGGGGGGCGGCGGTGAAGCAAACTCCAAGGAATGGCACGCGGGAGGGGAGGTAGCCGGCGGAACAGTTCGTGAAAACCGAGGGGCGACGAGGAACAGGTGCGTGGGAGGTAAGTCAGAAAGGTGTCCGCGACCTTCATCGAAAGTCGTCCACCACCCCTGACGAGCTTTGATTACAGCCTGTCATTTTACGGCGACTCTGGTTGGCCAACGAATCGTCAGGAACCCACAGGCGAAACGAGACGAGGGGGCACGCTATTGCAGAAATCAAGCAGCCCTGACAGCGCGACCCGCACGAAGATGGGGAGAATCCAGGCAGGCAGGTGAACTGAACTTTGGTTCCGAACCGGCCGTCGCACGCCGATCACAGCTCGGTCCGTGCGAATTCATCCGCGATAACTGTAGATCTGTTTTCGTTGTGGAAAATCATAACACGCATGAGCAAACAGGCTGTGCACGTACTGCTCTTTGCTGTATATTTGTAAGGAATTCCCTTTTCCTTACTTAGCGTCCCTGCTCAACGCGTACATCACTGTAGAACCTCAGTCAGCACCGTTACCACTCGCGACCATCGCATCATTCATCATCCCGCCCTTTTCGCACATCGCATCCCGACCTCACGGCTCGGCTGGTAACCCGCGCTCCGGGCCTACGCTTCGACACTTTCCCAACCTCAGTCCCAGGCTCGTCGCGCGACCATTACCGTTACCACTATAGTTTCGCTATATAATGTTCGCCCATGCCTTCGCTCATTGGTATTCTTGCTTCGATAGTGCAATTCTCGTTCATTCACTCAATTGCACTCGTAACACTTGGTATTCATAGCCTACGATCTCATCTCGGACCGCATCCACACCTTCGCTTCCCACTATCTCAATTTTTGGGGGGGGTAGACGTCTCTCAGCGACACAGCACCGCCGCTCGTAGTGCTCTCTCGAAAGCACGCACGGCCACGACCGAGGCTCTCGCTGAGCTTGCCCGACACCCCCGCCATGGCCGATTTCAATCTCGCCATGTTGACGCAGGAGCAACTCGATCGTCTCGTGCGTCAATTGGAGGATTCGGCGCTCGAAATCGCGACTCTCACGGCGGAACGTGACTTCGCCCGTCAACAGTCAACGGTGAACGTACTGACGACATCACACGCACATGCATATGCACATTTGGAGGAGCCCATCGTCATCTCATCCGGCACACCAACGCAACACAACAGCACGGGACAGCGCTCAGGCGCAGCCAGTGACGGCGCAGCCCAACCGATGCCCGGCATGGGAGGGAACAAGAGCGCATTAAGCCCACGGGAGCCCCGAGAAGCCCGTCAGCACGTGGAGTTTGCGGCGACAAGTGGCGAGAACGCCATGATGGCCCCAATGCCACTCAAGCCGCAACGCCCGCCCTGCTTCGACCCAAGCCAACGCGGCGGCCCGACAGTTCAATCGTGGGTCTTCACGATGAATGTATTTTTCGACGCCAACTACGTCGAGTCGGACGCCGCCAAGATCCGGTATGCGGTTTCACTACTCAGGGGCCCCGCCATGGACTGGTGGCGAGTCATTGTGACGTCGCCGCGCGCCTACGAGCCACCGTCGCACGAGGAAGGGCCCTCGGGTCCAGCTGTTACCTGGAGTTCGTTCTGCGAAACCGCCCAATACAGCACGTGGGATGCGTGGTGCGCAGGACTTCGGGCGCGCTTTGAGCCGATCGCGGCCTCGATTTCGGCGCGTCAGAAACTGCGCACTTGGCGCCAGCTCGGGTCAGTTCAAGACTACACGAGCGGGTTTCTCGCACTTTGCGAACAGGTCGGCTACATGCATGAGGCAGAGCGGGTGGACCGTTACGTCGGAGGGCTGAAGCCGGACATCTCGCACGAGATAATGCTACGCGTGCTCTCGAATTTCAACGAGATCCTCGCGCTCGCCGAGAAAATTGATATCCTACGCCGACCGAGACCGGGGTCCTATTACGGACATCGTCCTCGGGGACCGACCGAGCACGCCACTGTACATGCCGTCGCAGCGAATGCAGCTGCCGCGCCGTTTAGAGGGCGCTGCTTTGCTTGCAACAGGCCGGGCCATCGCAAGAGCGAATGTCCAGAGGAGCTGAGACGTCGAGGAGCAGAGCAGGGGAGGGAGTCTCGGAGGCAGGGAAACGCCAGCAGTCAGTAGAAGTTGGGCCAACTACTGACGAGACTGCCTGCTCGCCCAACCACACCGACCCTCACCGAGTCACAGTACCGGTTCACGCCATCGATCGGGCTCGGATGAATAAGGAGGGTACAGCGACGGATTGCCCGGTATTGATCTACGGGAAAATACAGGGAGCAGCAGTGAAGATCTTCATTGACGGAGGAGCAAGCCACAGCTTAGTTGATACCGCAACCGCACGAAAATTACAGTTAACGCTTAACCGATGTTTACCTGAGATAGATGCACGCTTAGTCGACGGCACGCCCCTGGCCATACGGGAAAAGGTGGAGCGCGTAAAAGTCCGTTGCGGGGGGAACTTGGATGGGCACGACATTTTATTGGGACGTGATTGGCTGCGACGGTACAACCCACGGATCGACTGGACGACGGGGAGCTGCACAGTGCGAAGTAGTGGTAACTGGGTCGTTCTACCTCGCTGTCAGCCACCCAAATCTTCGACGGTCCAGGTCAACGCCATCACGATGAAACGGGCTGTCGCTGCTGGAGCTGACGTGTACGCAGTGGATATCGCACTCGTAGAGAAAGATGAGCAGCCGAGTGATTTGGAGAAACTGCTGGCAACTGTACCGACCGAACTACAGGCACTACTGAAACAGTTCCCGGGGATATTTCCGGATGATTTACCACAGGGACTGCCACCTCAGCGGGCGCACGACCATAGGATCTAGTTAGAACCGGGGGCACAGCCAACTGTACAGCGGCAATTTTGACTGACACAGCCCGGGCTCGACGAGTTAAGGAAGCAGTTAGATTACCTGTTAGAGAAGCAGTTTATCCGTCCGAGCTCGTCACTGTTCGCCGCACCGATACTGTTCACACCGAAAAAAGACGGAGGGTTCCGCATGTGGATCGACTACCGAGCGCTTAACAGGGTAACAGTCAAATCGCGATACCCCATCCCCCGCGCCGACGAACTAATCGACCAACTGCGAACAGCACGAGTCTTTTCGAAAATAGATTTACGGGGAGGTTACCATCAGATTCGGGTCGAACCATCGGACTGCGCCAAAACAGCATTTAGGACTAGGTACGGGTCATTCGAGTATACAGTAATGCCATTCGGGCTGACGAACGCGCCTGCGACATTTCAGATGACCATGAACGAGGCATTTAGACCACTTTTAGATAAATGCGTGATAGTTTACCTGGACGATATTCTAGTTTACAGCCGGGATAAGCAGCAACACTTAGTGGATCTTGAAGCAGTTTTTAAGGTTTTGGAGGAACATCGGCTACTCACCAAGGGCTCCAAGTGCGAGTTTTTTCGGGACAGGCTATAGTTTTTAGGTCACGTCATTTCGGAGGCTGGGGTTGAGATTGACCCAAAGAAGCTGGATACGGTAAAAGCGTGGCGCCCCCCGACGAACATCACGGAACTGCAGAGTTTTTTAGGTTTTGTTAATTACGTTCGACGGTTCGTGCCCGACATGGCACGTTTAACAGCCCCACTCACTGATTAACTGCGTAAGGGGGTCGCTTTTACGTGGGGGGAGAAAGAGCATGCTGCCTTCTCTGCCCTGAAAACCGTTCTCTGTTCACCACCCGTTCTACGCATCGCTGATCCCCACCGCCCTTTCGAAATGGTTACTGACGCAAGTGACATCGCCATCGGAGCTGTATTGTTACAGGAGTTCGGCGACGGCCTCCAACCCATCGCCTACGAATCACGCAAACTACATCCGCCTGAGCGAAATTACCCGATACACGACCGCGAAATGCTTGCGATCGTGCTGTCAGAACATATCTATAGCTTATACTATTGTGTAGGCTGTAGTGGGGTATCCCATAGGGGGTACAACCCAGTTAGGGTTTCATATTTGTACTGCCTTCATTCATAGTTCACTCATTCCTGTTCATTCAGTTTCACATGGTATAGAGCGGGTCCCTCTTAAGGACCGTTTTTTTTTGGGCCCACCCACGATTTTTTTTCT